GCCTCCCACCCCTCCCGCGCCCCGTCACCCCCCCCCCCTCCCACCTTCCTTGACACACCTCACACTCCGTCACGCCCAAATCCCCCCCCCCCCCCCATACCCGCCACCAAAAATAATAATAAATAAAAATAAAAACACGCTCGCTCTGCCGTGACGTCACGCGTCATCCCGCCGTCCCTCTTGACATGTTTGTGACGTGTTTCTCGCCAAGAACGCTCTTTTGTTGCCGTCTCGTCGCGTCAGACTTCCGTGTTGCGTCTCACGTAATCGGGGATTGGGTGAGTAAGAGTCGCAGGCAAAGCTTCTCCGACGACTTGCAAAACGGGCGTGAGATTGCACTTAATGGAGGAGACACGACAGGTGGAGGCGTGAGGAAGGAGAGGAGTGTGGTTGTGTGTGTGTGTGTGTGTGTGTGTGTGTGTGTGTGTGTGTGTGTGTGGTGTGTGTGTGTGTGTGTGTGTGAGTCCGCGCGCGCATGTTCGTGTGCGTGAGTGTAATGAATATGTGTGCGTGTGCGTGTTCCTTCGAGTGGAAAAAATAAACATGGAAGAAAAAAAGGAAAAGCGACACATGGGCAAAAGGAAGAAAAAATAAAAAAGAAAAACAAAAAAGAGAAGAGGAAACAAGATAATCTTATCAACGAAATTCCACCTCCACCCCCCCCCACCACCACCTCTTTTCTCTCCTTCTCTCTTATTCCCTCTATGCACCTAACCGCACATCTTTATGTCTATCTATCTACCAATCAATCCATCTGTCTATCTCTTCATCTATCTATCTATCAATTTATCAATTTATCCCTCTCTATCAAATGTTATTCATATCATGATTAATTAACGTAATAACTATAACAGTAATACTAAAAACATAACGAAACTAAAACGTGTCTTCCAAAAAAATACTATTCATAATAGCAAATAAAATAATAAAATAACATTAAATAATTTCAATTAACATAACGTCCTTTGCAACATGCAATGGGACAACATGGCAACACGCCCAATGGAGTGGCATTTCTCTCTCTCTCTCTCTCTCTCTCTCTCTCTCTCTCTCTCTCTCTCTCTCTCTCTCTCTCTCTCTCTCTCTCTCTCTCTCTCTCTCTCTCTCTCTCTCCCAATTCAATTTTCTTTAATTCTACTCTGTCTGTCTTCCTGTCTCTCTGTCTGTCTATCTATGTCTCTGTCTCTCTTTCTCTTCGCCCCCTCTACCTTGCTCTCTCTTCCTTCTCCTTTCTTTTCTTCAACCCTACTTATCTCTTCCTCTCTCTTCCCTCCTTTCCCTACTTCCCCCTTCTCCCTCCCCTCCCTTCCCTCCACCCCTCCTTCTCCCTCTATCTCCCCTTCCTTCCCTCCATCTCCCCTTCTCCCTCTATCACCCCCCTTCCCCCTCCCTCCCCCCTCCCCCCTTTCTCCCTCACCCCCCCCCCCCCCTCGACGCAGCGACAGATAAATCAGGGCATAACCGGAAGCTGCACATCCGGCGAGGGCGGGCGTGGTGCGTGCGTGGCCGTTTGTGTCGGAATCACGGGCGGAGTGGGTGGCGGGGCGGGGTGGCCGGCTCTTGGCGCGGGTGGGCGGGCGTGCTCGGGCGTCGCGTCTGCCGGACACTCACGCACGGATGAGCGTCGGTGTGGGCGAGAGGATGCCCGCACGCCGCTTGTGGGAAGGACACACACACAGCCCCAGACACACACACACACACAGCCACACACACACACACACACACACACACACACACACACACACACACACAAACACCCCCCCTCTCCCCCTTCCCCCCAGCCCAGCAACAAGAGTACGCTCACATAGCACACGCACACACGCACACGCACATACGCACACGCACACATACGCACACTAATGGCGCCACGCGGAACGCAGCTTCTCCCACGCGAGGGAACGGCGAGCGGAAAGGATCGAATCGTGATCGGCTTCTCTTACATGAACGACATCTGTCTGTCTGTCTGTCTGTTTGTTTTTGGTTCGTTGTCTGTCTGCCTGTCTATACTTCTATGTCTAACTATATTTATTTATCTGTGGACCTGTCTATATACTTATGCAGATGGATTATATATCTATACATATATGGATTATATATATATATAATATATATATATATATATATACATGTGTGTGTGTGTGTGTGTGTGTGTGTGTGTGTGTGTGTGTGTGTGTGTGTGTGTGTGTGTGTGTGTGCGTGCGTGTGTATCTGTGTATTCATATTTGATCTAATTTTAATGTCTATACATCTGCCTTTCTTAACCACATGCAAATCGCTCACCAAACGTCTTCACTTCACGTAAATATTTACCCACGCAACCTAGACATTTAATCCCCCCCCCCCCGATGCACCCCACCCTCTCACCCTCCACCATGACTGTCTGCACTGTCTGTCTGTTTTTTTTTTTTTTTTTTTTCTTTGTCTGTCTGTCTGTCTGTCTGTCTGGAGTTTTTTTTTTTCTTTTTGTCTGTGTCTGTCTGTCTCTTCGTCAGCGATGCTCCGGGGCATGGCGGACTCGAGCTCGCGAAACACGCTTACTCTCCCTTTCCCTCTTCCCCTCTCTCTCTCTCTCCCTCCTCCTCCTCTCCCTTCTTCCTTCCTTTTCCTCTCCCTCTTTCCTCTCTCCCACTCGCTCCTTCTTCCTCTCCCTCCCTTCCTCTCCCCCCTCTCCCTCTTCCTCTCTTCTTCCCCCTCCCCCCTCTCCCTCTCCCTCTCCCTCCCCCCTCTCTCTCCCCTCTCCTTCCCCTCTCTCCATCCTCCCCTCCCTCCCTCCCTCTCTCTCCCTCTTCCTTCTCTCCCCCTCCCCCTTTTTCCCGCAAGGAGCTCGCGAACCACGTCTCGAACCGCGGCCGAGGAGCGTCTTGCCGAGAAGCGCTTCTTGAACCGACGCCAAGAAAATCGCCGGTTCATGGTGCGCGGCTGCTCTTGTTTTTGTTTTTGTTTTGTTGTTTTTCCGAGGAGGTCTTTCGGGGGGGCGGGGTAAGAAAGCGGGGGATGTCATCTGTAAATCCTCCCTTTCTTCTTTTATTTTTTTTTTTAGTTTTGTTTTTTATTCAATTCTTTATTTCTAAATATCTTTATGGTTGTCCGTCCGTCATGACTAGCCTCTTATGCCCTTTACCCCTCGCAGTTTCATCTCTCTCTCTCTCTCTCTCTTCCTTCCCATCCCCCTCTCCCTCTTCCTCCCCCTTTCCTCCCTCTCCCTCTTCCTCTCTCTCTGCCTCTCCGTCTCCTCTTCCCCCTCCCTTCCCAATTATCCTCACACCTTCATTACCAACCCAACTAGACCGGCGCGACTCCAGTGCGCTCTCCTTCCTCTGCGACGAGAGGAGGAGGGGGGGGAGGGGAAGTGAGGGATCTCTCTCTCTCCCCCCTCCTCCTCTCCTCTCCCTCCTTCCCTTCCCTTACCCCTCCTCCCCTTACTCCCTCCCTCTCTCTCGGCGTGTTCCTTAGCGTCAAGACAGGAAATAAAAAAAATACGGAAGAGAAAAAAAAACAGGAAACAATTTGATATGAAAAGGGGAGACTACTTATGGAAGGAGAAGGAGAAATGGCGACCCAAGCAGGCGAGCGTCGGGCCCGGCGGCGCTTACCTTCTTCTGGAGTTTGGGTCCTCGCTCGAGCGCCACCATCACGGCCTCGGACAGCTTCTCGGGCAGCTGGTGCAGCAGGTGCGAGAGCCTGGACGCCTGCAGCGACTCGTGCACGCGGGCCACGGTGCCGGCCAGGTCGCCCCAGGCGCCGTCCACCTCGGCGAGGGGCGCCAGGCACCCGCGGGCCACGTTCAGGCACATGCCGAAGCAGGGCGGGGCCAGCGTGCCGTGGCAGGCGCCGCAGAAGCGCAGGCGCGCGGCCGCCTCGCCGCACTCGCTCGGCACCGGGAACTTGCGGGCGGAGTTGACCACCTCGATGCCCACGTCGAGGGAGTGCAGGAAGAGGCGCACCGTGCGCAGGCCGCGCAGCAGGGGCTCGCCCACCAGGGCGGGGATGATGCCCCAGGGCTGCACCGTGCGCTGGGCGTCCCGCAGGCACTCGCTGTAGACCTGCGAGAAGGGCGGCAGGCGCGAGTGGAGGGCGTTGTGGTAGACGGGCGCGAAGAGGTCGTCCCAGAAGGCGGCGAGGGCGTGCTCGAGGGCCATCTCGTTGGGGCTGGTGAGCGCCGCCTTCATGGACGCGACCAGCTCGTGCAGCACGGGGCGGGCGGCGGGCGCCAGGCGCGGGTAGGTCGCCTGGAACAGCTTCAGGGTCCGGTGCTCGGCGCTGCTCAGGGCCTTCTCGACCACACCTGCAAGGGAAACAACAATCTCATTAGGACCTGCTCGACGCCTCGCCGCGCTCGCGCGCTCGCGAAAGGCCGACGCCGCGGGACGAAAGACGCTCGCGAGGAAAGCGCTTTGCGGCTTCCCCTCGGGCGAGGAAAGAAAAAAGGGATACACACACACACGTATATCTATCTATCTACATATATTATATATATATATATATATATATATATATATACTCACACATATCTATCTATCATCTATCTATCTATCTATCTATCTATATATATATATACATACACACGCACACACGCACGCACACACACACACACACACAACACACACACACACACACACACACACACACACAACACTATAATATATATATAATATATATATATATATATATATATATATATATATAATATATTCATACACATATGCATATAAATGTGTGTATATATCTATATCCATATCTATCTATCTATCTATATATGCATATAAACGTATATATATATATATATATATATATATATATATATATATATATATATATATATATAATATATCATACACATATGCATATAAATGTGTGTATATATCTATATCCATATCTATCTATCTATCTATATATGCATATAAACGTATATATATATATATATATATATATATATATATATATATATATATATATATATTCATATACATATGCATACAATGTGTATATATATATATAAT